GACTCATAGTGACTCCTCCTTGGGTTTCCGAGGCAATATCACTATGGAAGTAGATTGCCCCATCTTCCTTCCAAGGAGTAGCTGGTAGGTTTGAACCGCCAGCCTTCTGGTTAGCAGTCAAATGCCTTAGGAACTATGCTACTAGAGCTCCCTCATCCATTTCAGGAGGTGGCATAAAATCAAGAACCAATGGTACTGAAGGAAGAAGTCAAAAGCGACACTGACAGAACTGACCAAGAATAAAACTCCAGGAATTGATGGAATACCCACTGAGATGTTTCAAGAAACAGATGTAGCTCTGGAGGTGCTTACTTGTTTGTGCCAAGAAATTTGGAAGACAGCTACCTGGCCGACTGGTTGGAAGAGATTGGTATTTGTGCCTATGCCAAAGAAAGGCAATCTAACAGAATGTGGAAATTATCAAACAATATCATTCATATTCCATGCAAGTAAAAGTTTGCTGAAGATAATTAAAATATGGTTGCAGCAGTACATTGATAAGGAAATTCCAGAAATTCAAGCTTGATTTAGAAGAGGATGTGCAACAAGTGATATCATTGCTGAGGCCAGATGTATCTTTGCTGAAAGCAAAGAATATCAGAAAAGATGTCTACCTGTGTTTTATTGACTATGCAAAGGTATTTGATTATGTGGATCATAAAAAATTATGGATAACATTGGGAAGAATGGGAGTTCCAGAACACTTAATTGTGTTCATGAGGAATGTGTACATAGACCAAGAGGCTGTCATTCAAATAGAGATATTCAAAGGGGACACTGCATGATTTAGAGTCAGGAAAGGTGTGTGTCAGGGTTGTATCCTTTCACTGTAATTATTCAATCTGTATCCTGAGCAAATAATCTTAGAAACTGGACTATATGAAGAACACAGCATCAGGATTGGAGGAAGACTCATTAACAACCTGCCATATGCAGATGACACAGCCTTGCTTGCTGAAAGTGAAGATGACTTGAAGCACTTACTGGTGAAGATCAAAGACTACAGCCTTCAGTATGGATCACACCTCAACATGAAGAAAACAAAAATCCTCACAACTGGTCCAATAAACAATATCCTGAAAAATGGAGAAAAGACTGAAGTTGTCAAAGATTTCATTTTAGTTGGATCCACAATCAACACCCAGAAGCAGCAGTCAAGAAATTAGATGTCATACTGCACTGGGCAAATCTGCTGCAAAAGACCTCTTTAAAGTGTTGAAGAGTAGAGATGTCTCCTTGAAGACTAAGGTGCACCTGACAAAAGCCATGATACTTTCAATTGCCTCAAATGCACGTGGTAGCTGGACAATGAATAATGAAGATCAAAGAACTGATGCCTTTGAATTGCGACGTTGGTGAAAAATACTGAAAATACCATGGACTTCCAGGAGAATGAAGAAATTTGTCCTGGAAGAAGTGCAGCTGAATGCTCCTTGGAAGCAACAATGGCCACACATTGTCTCACCTTCTTTAGTTGTGCTGTCAGAAGGGACCACTCCTTGGAGAAGGATATCATGCTTGGTAAAGTAGAGGGTCAGTGAAAAATGGGAAGACCCTCAACAAGATGGATTGACACAGTGGCTGCAACGATGGACTCAAACATAGCAAGGATTGTGAGGATGGCATAGGACCAGGCAGTGTTTGGTCTATTGCACGCAGAGTTGCTATGAATCAGAGCTGACTCAATGGCACCTAACAACCACCACCACCACCTCAGTGACTCAGCTCAAAACAGTATCTTCTCTGCTTGCAAAACCAACATTTTCTCAATTAAAGTACTTAAATGTTGCATTTTCATTTGTTTAGTGGTTGATCCCGTCATAAACTTCCAATACAAGGAGTTTGCCTTAGGCTTTCAATATTTGTTGAAGTCATTTTAACCTTCTTTTTATCCTTTGTGATTTTCTGTATTTTTAAAGGTTATCTTTATTAAGCATGTATTATTTTTGTAATTATTAAAAAATAATACCTGAATGTTTTAAAGTATAGCTACTATAAGCTTCTTAAACACAGGAACTATTTCTGGCTTTTTTTTTTTTTA